ATTGTTGTTTGGCGGGCCTGGGCTGGATTCGAACCCACCACCTTAGGTGTATGTGGCTGGCGCCTTAGCCACTTGAGCCACAGGCGCCGAGCCGGAGAACACATTTTAATTCAGATTAACACTAAGTACCTCTTGATTAGTACAGATAAAATAATTAAAGTCTTCGCGCTCTTGAGCTCTCACAGGAGCTTCTAGTCTCATGATGAGCTCATATAAGTTCATGTGTGGAACCTGTGTATTTCATACATAATGGCATGGAGGTTCCTAAATGCCTGCTAACATTGAAGCCTAATACTAGATTTCTTCATTACATTTTTAAATTTTGTATTCAGTTTGATCAACCAGTTATGATTTCCAAGTCCACAATGTTCTGATATGTCATGTGTCCCAAACATTTCCTTTGATAAAATTGGCCTTGCATTTCTCACTTGGCTTCTATTGACATAACCTTATTGTAGATCCCCTGCATGGCTTTTCCCACCCTTTTTGCCTAGACTTTTCTTGAGAAATCACTTCCTCCAGATGACTCACCATCAGAGGGTGCTAAATCCAGCAGAATTTTGGCAGCCTCCCTTTTGGGAAGGAGGCTTGAGAACACATGTAAGAACTAAGAATAATTAGGAACCAGAAGTGTGGTTTAAAGAAGTTGATTCCCTTTCCCTGTTGGGGAAGCTTTAAGGTTAGAAATGCATCATGATGGTTGTTTTCTGGGATGGTAGTTGCCTGGGAACCTCTATTGGGGCAATAGGATACACTTATTTTGTTGATTGTTAGATTTTAAAAGCAGTAGAATCTGTGTGCTTAGATTTACCAGTACTTTTTCTTCCCGGGGAATGGACTGGAGTCTTGCACTTGCTCCTGATATTTGAAAGAGAGTGCTAGAGGTGTAGAGAGCCCTCGAATGAAGTCCTTTTAGGCTGCATACTATGAAGTTTGGATATTGGCTCTGGAAGGGGGTTCAAGTGGGAAATGGATTAGGAGGATTTGCTGGCAGGAAGAATAGAGGATTTGAAGAATACTAATAAATTGGGAAAGATTTGATAATTATAGATACTGAGATAGAAATTGACGTCCAGTTTTCTTGTGTGGGTAATCTAAAATCCCAACATTTGGGAATAGATTGGATAGGAAGGAAAGATGATAAATTGGGGGTTTGGATATTTTGAATTTGAAATTCATATGGAACATTTATTTAGGGGGATGTTTCTAGTAGGTAAGTGGATATATACAATTCTGAGATATTTTGAGAACTGAGGTGTAGAGGTACAGTTTGGGTATTTAAACTATGGAAGGTGGGTTCCAAAGAAAGAGTCCAGAGTCATATAAAGACAGGAAATTGAGTCAAGCATAGTACTGCCATCTGTAACCCATGTGGTTGTTAGGTGGGGACGATTAGGGGGGTGAGGTAGAAAAGAAAATTTGAAATAAGATACGGTCTGAAAAGATTTTTGAGTGGTATGAAGTTGAAGTGGAAATCTAATGTAACTATCACATTCCTGATTTGGGCAGCTGGTTGGATAGTGATGACATTCCCCAAGTTATAGACTATAGCCATCCCTTGGTATCTGTAGGAGATTGCTTCCAGATCCCCATGGATGGTCCCTTATGTAAAATGGTGTAATATTTGCATACAACCTCATATTGTCCTATATACTTCAAATCATCTTAATACCAAATGTAAATGTTTATAAGCAGTCATACTGTATTATATTTGTACTTTTATTGCTACTAATTTTTCTACATACTGTCCCATCTGCAGTTGGTTCAATCCACACGTAAGGAGCCGGTGAATATGGAGGGCCAATTTGCACTTGTGGGGAGCAACCATATCATGCTAGGTAAGAGTTCTTAGAATTGAGGACATTAAGCAAAATAATCCTTCTGATTTCTCTTTCTCTACAGAGAATGTTATAGGACATTGCTGAAGAAAGGCAAGAAGGGACTGGCTTTGAGAATCTGCCCTTCAAAAAATACAGTTGTTAACTTGATGTTCTGGTATTGTCTGTGATTCCTTGACATCAATCAGAAATTTTACTGGTTTGTAGGAAAATGAGATGTGTACGTAATCAAAACCTGTGACTGTTAAAAGAAGGACTGTTTTTAAGTGGTTTGCCATAAACATGAAGTGAGAATCTTGCCTGGGGGTCTGTATTACACAATTGGTATAACTGCTCAAGTCTTTCGGTCTAAAAGTGCCCCTCCACCTTTTGTGACCTCATTTCTGCTCTCCTTTGTTGAGGTATTTTGAAACTATAACTTTTTTTTTTTTTTTTTTTTTGAGACAGAGCCTCAAGCTGTCCCCCTGGGCAGAGTGCCGTGGCATTACAGCTCATAGCAACCTCCAACTCCTGGGCTCAAGCGAGTCTCCTGCCTCTGCCTCCCAAGTAGCTGGGACCACAGGCGCCCGCCACAACGCCCGGCTATTTTTTGGTTGCAGCCATCATTGTTGTTTGGCAGGTCCGGGCTGGGGATTCGAACCCGCCACCTTAGGTGTACGTGGCTGGCGCCTTAGCCGGTTGAGCTATAGGCGCCGAGCCTATAACTTTTTTTTTTTTAACTTTATTCAAATTAATATGAGGGTACAATATTTAGATTACACTGTTCCTACCTCCAGGGTAAAGTTCCATTTGTACAAGAGCCCCTCACATTGTGCACAGTAGGTGAGATCCTACTGCTTGCCGTCCGTCCTTCTGCCGTATGTCATCCCCGGCCCTCCTCCCGCTTCCCTCCTCCCACTTCCCTCTACCCCTGAACTGGACTACAATGGTGTTTTATTGTTCTTAGCAACATGTAATTGTTTATATATTGATTTCATAGTAGTATGGAGTACACTGGATATTTATTTTTCCATTCTTGTGATACTTTACTAAGAAGATTGTATTACAACTCCATCCAGGTAAATGTAAAAGATGGTAAAGTCTCTGTCTTTTTTAATGGCTGAATATTCTAAGGTATACATAGACCACAGTTTGTTGATCTATTCATGGGTTGATGGGCACTTAGGTTGCTTCCACAACTTGGCAGTTATGAAGTGAGCTGCAATAAATATTCTAGCGCAGATGTCTTTGTGGTAAAATGACTTTTGTTCTTCTGGGTAGATACCTAGTGATGGGATTGCAGGGTCAAACGGAAGGTCTACTTTTAGATCTTTGAGGATTCTCCATACTTCTCTCCAAAAGGGCTATATTAGTTTGCCAGCCCACTGGCAGGTTAGAAGTGTTCCCTTCTCTCCGTATCCATGCCAGCATCTGGTGTTTTTTTACTTTGTGATGTAGGCTAATCTTGCAGGGGTTAGGTGATTATCTTAGAGTGGTTTTGATTTGCATTTCTCTGATGATTAAAGATGATGAGCATTTTTTCATGTGTTTGTTGGCCATTCATCTGTCATCCTCAGAGAAGTTTCTGTTCAAATCTCTTGCCCACTTATAGAGAGGGTCGTTTGCACTTTGCTTATTGTTTAATTTGAGTTCTGTGTAGATTCTAGTTATCAGGACTTTGTCAGATTCTTAGAGCTGTCTGTTTGTTTGTGGTACTCTCAGCTGTG